TCTCCCTTCCCCTCCCAAGATGCAAACCAAGGGCTGCCCGAAAGATCCTCCCTGTTTCGTCTGGGGACATAGGATTCCTTCTGTCTAAGCTCTGACCTCTGATATAATACAGCTGAGACTTTTCCTCTTAATGAGGCTAAGCCTTCTCCCCAGGGACCTTTCAGATGATGATAAAAATGTCACCATAATATTGCTCCCTAATGTTAAGGCAATTTTTCCCCCTCCAGAGACATTTGGGAAGGAATAACGTAGGAAGTCCCTGGAATTTTGTCCCCAGTAATGCGATCTGAAGGCCAGCATCATCATCCCAGCTCAGTTACTTACAAGAGGAAGGACTTAGGGTAAAGTCACTTAACCGCCAAACTGGGATAGCAGCACCCCCTCCAGGGACCCACTGATGTAACCTGTTAACATCTTTACAGGGTATGATTAGCTTCATTGTGCAAATGGGGAGGGATGTACCTGGCCTGTGGCCACATTGCAAGTAAGGGCAGAGCAGGGATTCTGAGCTTAGGCCAGTCTGAATCCGAAGCTCATGCCTCGCTCTGATAGTCAGTCCACGGAAGACAGAAAGCTTGACCCACTGTCTCTAGGTGGGAGAGAAAGATCCAACCATGTCCCTCTCCTTCTCAAAACTCTGCCAGGGTCCTCGGCAAGGCTGACCAAGCCCTGTGCCACCTGGCCCCTCCGATCTCCAGCCTCTTTTTCTCTTTCTCCACTCTGCCAAACAATCATGATCTTCCAGTTTCTTGAGCAAGCCTGGAGCACCTCAGCCTCCCCTTTTCTCTTCCTCAACAGCTCTCTCTCTTCCTGAAATGCCCTCCCCTAGCCCCTCACCTGGCTTCCTCCACTCCTACAGGTCTCAGCCTCCATGTGCTTCGAGAGGGCGGTTTCCGTGCACAACCCTTCCCTATTTATAAAGGCCAGATTGGTTCCCCTGGTACACACTCCCATTTGTGGCTAAAAGTCTCCTGTTTGAGATATCCTCATAAACCGCTAGTTTGATATCTATCTTCTCTGCTAACTCAGGAGCTACCAGCACACCCCCAAATCTCGCCCCATGCTGGATCAGAAAAGACTTGCCTTTCTGGGTGTTTGGTGAAATAAGACTTAAAACAACTGCCAGCCTTTGAGCTTGGAGGTGGGTCCCTGGAAAGGCATGCCTTGGTTCTGTGGATCCACAGTCCCTTTGCACAGCAAAGCCTCGGTCAGGTAAGGGGCAGCTCTCTGGGGTTCCAGGTGGCGTCTGTTCTTTGGGGACAAAGTGAATTTACGATGGAGGCAAAATAAAATATATGCGTTGGTGAGGTTCCTCCACTGCCCCACCCCTCTCTCCCTCTGCTAAGGAAGAGGTTTTACTTACCGGATCAGCTCCTGGCTCTAGCTTGTGCAGAAAAGTAGAAAGAAGCTGAGAGGCTGAGTTGATCTAGATAACAAAGGGCTGAATCCGGGAGGGGAGGGCTGGGGAAGGGCGCCCAAGGCGGCCGCCTTAGGGAGAGCTGAGGGTGGAATGAGGTGCATGGGAGAGGCTTTCAGAACAGCTGCTGTGTGGGAAACAGGGATGATGAAGAAAGAGGTTTCTGAAGAAGTTTTGCTTTGCATTCATAATTTAACATGCCCCTGGTGATATTGACAATGCTAAGGGTAAAGACTTGGGTCACTTTTAGTTCTTTTGTGGTTTCCTGGACTGTTTATTTTTCTTTGGAAGTGGCTGGCTGGGCATTGAATGTGGCATTGCGGATTTATCTGGGACGTGTATTTAATGAGGGGCCTTGAGAACGGGGCCAGGGTAGAAGCGTAGTCATGTAGCCTGTGGGTTGTTCTTGAGTCTTCCTGGGCCAGCTGAGGAGCGTGGCTGGTCCCCCTCGTTTATTTTAGCCCCTGTCTTAGCCTTGCTGCAAGCTTGAGCGTGGGGGCTTGTCATGACGGTCTGTAGGACGAGGGACAGGAGGCTCTGGTTGTCCCTCTTCTCTGCAAGGCAAGTGGGAGAGCTCTTCAGTACCCAAGTGACAGCCCCAGTGCCTTAGCTCTGCCTTGTGACAGCTGCCAAAGGGATCTTTGCACAGATGGGCTGTGCATTTGGGCTGGCAAGAGCAGAATGTCTGCAGAAGTGAGACCAATTTTAGGGAAAAAGTAAGTAGGAAAAAAGGTCTCTAAAGGCTCTTAGCCTGCCACCCCAACCTCCACCTCCTGTACAGAAGAAGGCAGGCTTCCAACCATCAGACACTGGGGTTTGCATGGCTAAACCCAGGTTCCCTTGCTTATCCCAGGCTAGGGAAGGAATAGGAGGAAACCCACAGATGGAGCAGAAACATAGGGACAATCATGGGAGTCACCTTTGTTCTTAGCCCCTTTAAGCAAGGAGCACATAGGTCTGCAGAGGGGTCCCTACTCCCTCCAGACATGAAGCCACAGGTGCTGTCTTCCTTCCTCAAACCAAAAGTGTACATATGAAAGGAGACCAGGTCTTGGCTTGACCGCAGAGAGACCGCAGGCCTGGGCACTCTTTCCTTTGTGGCAAGGTTGAGTCTGAATAGGAACCATTAGTGCAGAACACGGGATGTTTGCCCTGGATGCTGTGTCAGGGTCAGAGCAAGACCAGGCGAGGTAGACGTGGCCTCTAGTAGTGGAGTTTGGTCATACGAGTTGACACCCCTAAATTTGGTTCCCTGGAATGCTGAGTGGTTTTTTCTTGCTAATGCCCAGAATATGTGTAAATCAGGGTTTCTCACCCTCAGCACTGTTGACAGTTTTGGTCCTCTGTTGTGGGGGCTGTCCTGTGCATTGTAGGATGTCTCACGGCCTCCACCCACTAGATGCCAGTAGCACTCCCAGTGTGACAACAAAAGATGTCGCCAGGTATCACCAAATGTGCTCTTGGGGCCAAACCACCCCCATTTGAGAACTGCTCGTCTAAATCAAATCCAGCAGCTGTGCACTTCCCAATCCAACGCCCCACACGTTTTTTGAGAATCAAGGGTGAGCTTATAGTTTAGGCTCATGTCTCTATTAAAAAATGACATGAAAAGGCGATTGCTGAGCCCCTTCTGCTCCAAAAGCTGGGTTTCTAAGATGAATTTTACTTGACTGCCTTTAAGGCTAGGCAGAGAGCCATGGAGGGGGTTGGCTGGGCATGAGCCGGAATGGTAGCGCTCACAGCTGGTGAGCATGGTCAGTGCCAGCACCTGTTATCGAGGAAGCTCATTCTCGATTCCTTATTTAGCTGACCCCATGGCCTGGCGCCTTCTTGGCACCCCCCGCCTGGACATTCCATGATATCCCTCCTCTTCTATTTGCTGGGGCCAGAATCTTTGAAGCCATGACTGGCTCCCCTCTTCCTCTCACATTCTACATCCAACCTATCCGCATATTCTGGTCGCTTCAAAATAGATTTAGGACTCAAATGCTTGACGCTCTTTCCTAATTCTTTTTTTCTTAAGGTAGCAGCATGCATACCACCTGTGTGTGTGCTCATGTATACATGCACCAGATGTCGTGAAGGTGAATTGGGAAATTACCTAAAACAATCCACAAGCCAGATACTTTCATTCCCTCAAGTACTTAATACAGTTCATTCATGAGACTTGCTAGGTATTAAGTTTAAAGACTGCCATGCGAATCCTATCTTCCAAGAGCTTCAGGAAGCTTAACAGATAGCTTATTAAAAGTTGATCAGACCATGGGGCCAGACAAGTGGCTCAGTTTTTTTAAGAGCACAAGCTCTGAGCAATAGGGCCGCCGGTTCAATTCCCACTATGGGCCAGTGAGGTACGCCCAAGCTGAGCTGCCAGAGCTGGTGAGAGCAGGTGCTCTTAGCAGCAAGGTTGCCAGTTCGACACCCGTATGGGATGGTGGGCTGCACTCCTCCCCCCTATCCCCAGCCCCCCCC